GTCCTTATGGACATATTTATGTATGTATGTGTATGCGTACGAGTATGCTTCACTTTTTAAAGGTAGTCGAGCATATGCATATTTACAGTTGGTCCTTTGTTATATAGAAGAGGGTTTTATTGCAGCCCAATAACTTATAGCCTCAGGCGAGCCACGGACATAGACATGGTTGCATGTATAAATGTGTATTTGAATAACTCGCTTGTATGTATGGATGTATGTATGCCTTAGTATATATGTAACTACACATAATTTTTCTATTTTGAAGTAATAAGAAAATAATATATCTTATTTGCTCTTATTTGCTGCCTGAGGGGGTCGTATATATGTATGTAGGTTAGAGTGCGTCGTAAAAGGGGTGAACCATGGTTAATGGGTGTTCGGGTGCAAAATAAATGGCTATTTGATACGGCAAATTGATAATTGAATTACAGCATTACAAAGTATGATGTACATTTGTATTTTTTCTTTTCTTGTTTTTTTTTGTTGCTTTTTGTGTGGCAAGTGTGAAAAGTTAGGTATTGAACGCATGGTTTGTATAAACCACGCAGCAAAAAAAAAATAATTAAATTAAATATTTCATAAAAAAAAGTAGACTAAAAAAAAAAACATTGCAATTCCACGCAGCATTCAAAAACAGGGTAACAAAATTTACAAACATTTTGGTGTTGTCAACAAAATTTGCATTGAAGTGTGACAATGTGCTTGACTTTCTTTCACTTCTTTGGTGGAACGCGTAAACAACGAATGTATTCAAATTGTGCAATCAAATGCTGGGTGTTAGAAAAATTAAAGCATTTTTTTTTTTTTACCTTCAAAGTTATTCGCAGAAAAAAGCTATTTAGTAAGCAGCCTGATTTGATGCTGTTTCGCGTGAAAGGATAGGAGAACAGAGATAGAGAAGTATAGAAAGATTTTTTACTATAATATATAATTGTTTATGCAATTCGTTTGTGTTTGAATGTATGCTTGTGTATGAAATATATAGTTGACTGTTAATGAATGCCTAATGTGAAAATGAAGTTTAATATGTTTGCATTTTAGAAAAAAAAACAAGAAAAAATTTTTTTTATGTGAAATCATAGATAACAAAGTAGACCACTTAATAGGCACGCTAGCAGAGCTTTCTTAAGCTGCCTGGTCAACATGGATAAAAAATTAACATATAAAATAATATCATTATAAGCTTACAGGAGCGCCCTTATTAAAAAAAAAAGCTTAATTAAAAACAAATATTTTTGAAAAAGCTTTCATAAAAGCTTTGACCTGCAATAGGATGCTTGAATTGCTTAAGAAGCGGAGTAGTCACCGAAATGTGAAACGTAAGTTTTCTAATAAGCTTTCAAAAAAGCTTTCTTGCATCAAAGCAAGAATGTCTGAATAAGTGATGGCAATAGAGCACGTAAATTCTAAGTGCATACTACTTTTCTATATCAGCAACTGAGCACTGTCCATATAAAATCTATATAAAGCTTTAAAAAGCTGCACCCGCCGCATATGTTTCAATAGTGATTGGTCTATATACACATAGCTTAAAGAAGCTGAAGAAGTATATTACTGGTCTAAAGCAGTAATCGGTAAAGAGAGATTTTAGACTGTACAAAATATACAAAAAAAATCAAAAATTGTGCAGACGCAGGCAAGGCCATTTAACGCTAAATCAGATACGACTATAACATATATACATACACATGTATAAAGACAGCTCGGGAGAGGCCTTTGTGATGAAGAACATAGAGCAGCAATGGGCGCAGCGAGCTTTTACTCTACACGCACCTATACAAAATGTATAAAAAGTTTAAAAGAGCTTTTCCGAGAGTAATAGCTTTTTCCAATTGTCACTTAAGCACAGTTGGATAGAGAGCGATGTTACGCTCTGCCTAAACCAGAGAAACTGAGTAGATGCAAGTTTGAATTCACTGACTTGAATTACTTGAAAGCAAGTTAAGGGCAAATTTCGCTTACCAGAAAGCTTTTCCTATTCAAGTCTCTCGGGCGAGCTTTCACTATTTTCAAAGAATAAAACGCTGCATTCACCAAAAAAGCTTTCAGTTTACTATTTAAGTAAATTTTTAAGGAGGTTTTCGAATCATTTGTTGTTACTAGAAAGCTTTCATTTTGACTTGTATCATTTCATCATAAAAAATACGAGGAAAGCTTATATTTCTACTGTTTGAGCAAAAACTTGTATGAGCTTCCAGCGCAAGTTTCTTTTACTAGAAAGCTTTAAGTATTTTTAGCAGACAACTTCCAAAAAAAAGCTTTCATTCTAAACATCAAAGTAGAAAGATTTTTGGTAAGCTTATTTTAAACAATAATTCGGGCAATTTAGCGATGATGTTTTATGGAATTCACGCGATAATTAAGCCTAATTAAGCGGGTAATACTGTAGTTAGAGAGTTGACTTCTCCGAATTATATTCAGAGAAGATGATGAATACTTTTTCATAGAATCTGCCTACTAATTAAATGGTTTCTACTGAAACTGAGTTATGTTTATCAGAAACATTCATTATAATATAAAGATTTGCTCGCCTGCTCAATTTCTTCATACGCCTACATATTTCGAAAAGTTGTGCTCTCCCTACTATTTAATACGATTGGGCTAATAAGGCACCGAAAGATTGTTAGCAAAGAGAAGCCAACTTTGTAGAGAAGGCAGCTATCGCTATAACTGTATACATGAAAATTGGATTCTATGCCAATGCTTTGGATGTACATACATATGGTTCTCCGGCAAAGCACTTTAGTTCAGCTAAGCGTAAAGTGTTTACGTAGGCGCATTAATCAAAAATAACTTTCCAAAGTAATTTAAGAGTCATTAAATAAACTTTAATAGTTAAAAGCTAAAAATTGCAGTGCCACTACTGTTCGTTGAAGTCACGCCAAGAGCATTGTGTATCTACAACATTAGGGGAGATACGACAACTCTATTAAGACGAAAGCGTTGGCAAATGTTTTTAGACGATCAGTGAGTGACATAAAAGCGAGAAAGCATGAAGGAATTAAAATAATTAAAAAAAAAGGTAAAAAAAAAAAGAGTGCTGCGACTGAACGGAAGAGGTGCATAAATACATATTACGGTAGCGCTGGCGCTATGACGAAGATAGTAGTACTAGCTTATGTATGCGGGTGGCACACGCAGCTAGCGATTACCGCATTTTCATTAGGCCATTAGGCAGGCAATTATAAGGCTCGTATGCCGCGCAACATACACGCGCATTGAGAATATTCTTTTCTTAGCGGTCTTTTTTTTTGGGTTCTATTTTCAGTACCGCTGTTTGTAGGTATGTATATACACTTCCGCTAAGCGGCATGTGTTGTCAAGTAAATAGCGAAATAATTATGCGTTGAGTGTGTATTATGTATGAAATAAATGAGATACGACAGTTCAATGTACTTGTAGCTTTTAAATTTTCTATGTTAAAGCAACAAAAGCATAATACTTAAGCGCAAATAAGAAAAAACAGAAAAAAAAAATGTTTTTGAAACAAACATACTCGCTAGCGTAAAAACGCAACGAAGCAATCAGTTGTGTAAAAAAAAGCGGCACACTTACAATGAGATAAAAAGTGTTTGCTAGTCTTGAAAAAAAAAATAAATGTAAATAAGTATTTGTCGTTAACAAAACAAAAAAGACACTAAAACAACAATAAAAATTTGTCGCAAATTGCGCGTAGCCAGAGCGATTCGCGCATTAACTCAACTGGAGCATGCATGCAACGCGACGGCAGTGACGGTGGCGCAATAAAAAGGGAGTAGTGTACTGTTGCCGCAGAGGCAGAAGAGAATGAGGGGGGAAAGAGAAGCTGGAATTGTAAAGAAAGTAGAGTAGGAATTGCAGTAGAAGTGTCGTATTAGTACTAGTAGTAATAGTAGGTTGGTAGTAAAAGAGCAGTAGAATGGGAGTGGATTCGTAGTAGAAGGGTAGTAGAATAGCAGCAGTTCGTTAGTAGGAAAATGGTAGCGTAATGGCAAAAGTGTCAAAGTCTATTCTACTTAGAATAATAGATGTATGATACTAAAAATAGTTCCATAGATAGTAAAAGTAGTAGATATGGTTCGAGTATGATAGCAGAATAGTAGTAGGAATAAGTAGCAGTAGAATGGTGGTAGAGTAACACTTCGTTAGTTCTAGAACAGTATCAGGAGGTTAGTGTCAAAGTGGACTCGAGGAAGTATGATAGTTAAATAGTAGTTTGAGTATAATAGAAGAATAATGGGAGCGCAATGGTAGTCGAATAGTACCTTGGCTAGTTGTAAAATGGTAGTTGAAATATGGTACCGTAATCGTAGTTATTAGTAGAATGATGGTAGAATAGCAGTTCGTTTGTAGTAAAATAGTAGTATAATAGTACAACTATTTTAGTTGTTAAATAGTAGCGTAATAGCGTAGTAGTGTCAAAGCAGAATAGGGGTAGTATGACAGTAAAACTGTAGTTCGAGTATGACAGCAGAATAGTAGTGGGATAGCAGTAACAGTTATACATAGTATTAGTAGACGCAATCTTCCATAATAGTCATAGTAGAGGAGTAGGAAAACAAGTAGAATATGTAGTAGATAATTACTAAAAATAGTACTAAAAGAGTACTTAGTACTAATACACGGCACTAAAAGCACACTGATCATTTAACGACTTGAGCATAACTCCCACACGTCACCACAAGGCAAAATTATAAAGAAAATTAAAAAAAAATGTAGGAAATTGGCGGCGGCTTCATTTGCTGGCTTAAAATAGTATGCGTTAATTTAACCGCCGCGCCATTACTATAAGAGGAGTTTAAGGGTTATGTGTATGAATGTTGTTGTATGTACATTGTTAACGGATTGTTTTTTTTTTATTTAATAGGGTAGTATTATTTATTAACCAAGCAAAACGCTGCCAGCCAACCAACTGAACCTACGCTGCCAGCCAGCCAGCCAGCTCAGTTAGGCGCTGGCAGCTTTTAAGCTACCACAATACATAAATACCGTACGCAGACTGCGTCGAAAGCACCTACCTGCATGAAACTTGCAATGCGTCTTTAGTGCACCCTCCGTGCCAAATTGCTTGCCACATTCCTCGCAAGCGTGTGGCTTGCGTAGAAAATGCACCGTCAATTTGTGCAGCGTGAGTTGAGATGGGCGCGGAAAGCGTACATGACACAACGTACACTCATACGGTCTGCCCTCGCTGTCGTGCGTCTCCATGTGTCGCTGCAGAGCGGTGCGCATGCGAAAACCGCGCTTACAGATCGAGCATACAAACGGCATTGAAGCTTGATTGCTATGCGCCAGCTGATGATGTTTGCGCAGCGCAATATCGTTGGTGAAACGCGCATCGCAGAAGAGGCAATTGTGACTGTTGCGTAAGACGCGCTCCATCAGCAGCAACTCATCTTCGGAGGCATTTGAATTACCACCACCGGCACCGCCACTCATCACCCCACCACCCATGGCTGCCATGCTGGCGTATTTGGCGCTGGCGCGCCGTTTGCGGAAATGTCGCAGTGTTGCTGTATTGTTGGTGGAGGTCGAATCGGGTTCGGTTTGTTCTGGCGAGGGGAGTGTGACATGTGGCGCATTCTTTGCTACGGGCTCAAGTAATTGATCTTCGTGTTGCTGTTGCTGCTGCTGCTCGTAGGCAGTTTCTTCTTCTTCCTCTTCCTCTTCTTCTTGCTGGTCAAACTGCTCATGCTGCTGCTGCTGCTGCTGCTGCTCCTGTTGTTGCAGATATTCTTCTTGCTGCTGCTGCTGCTGCTGCTGCTGCTGTTGCAAATGGTGTTGTTGCTGTTGCAGTTGTTGCGTTTGCAGCGCATCGCATGGCTGCGCATGTGAATGGTCTGCATTGAAAGCTGTTGTTAATAGAAAAAAGTGGCAGTTAATTGAAATAGTTAGTTAGCTAGTTTGCATTTAATATAATTTTATTTAATTTTCATTCATTTTCTACACGCAATACAGATTTTCATGTTCGATTGTTGTTCTTGTTGTTGTTGTTGTTGTTGTTGTATAATATGTTATTTATATAGTATTTATGTATGTATTTTTTTCAACTTACGATCATCACAATCGGGGCAACAAAGTATGCGTTGCGGTTTGCCGCCGCTTGAACTTGGTGTTGATGTGTTGCTGCCGCACACCGCCACGGTAGCCGCTGCCGCCGCCTGATTTGTTGTCATCGTTGTCGACTCGGCCGTCAATTGCGTGGTGTCCAGTTGCAAATCTATCGCTGCAGGCGAGAACAAACAATGCATACAAATTAGTTATAGTGTAATTTAGTTATTAGCTTGGGAGCAAAAAAAAAAAGTGCTAGCGCATAAATAATGATATGTTACGGACAAAGGAGTGAGTAGCACAAAAAGAGGCTTATAATTAAATAAACACATAGAGGAGGAGCTGGGTGAAGAATTAAGCGATGGAAAAGTATTTTTCTTTATAAGAGAAAAATCTTTTCTATACGTTTGAAGTAAGTAGACTCGGCAGCTTGGCGTACGCTTGGCTGTTTTTGGACAACACTGCTTTTGTAAGATGCTTTATTTTGTGTTTAAAGTGTAAGTAAATGAAGAAAGCTGCTTTGAAGGCTTCGCATTAAATATACATATTTTGGAATGGGGTTAGCGGCCTATGATGTGATACATATATCAGGTTAGATGGCAGCTGCTTGCAACAAGTAGGCAAACTTACGGGTATCATAAGCCGTCCTTTGTAGTACCATTAAAAGTTGGTCTATGAGAAAGAAAATAGCAACTGATTATTTGATTATTTGATAATCGCTCTACTCTATATAATACAACTATACAAGCAACTGATTTCCAGCTCTAAAAGCTCACCAATTGTATTGTTCTCAGCAGTGAGATCCAATACTATAACCACATACAATTTTTTCGCGCGCAATCAGGACAACTAAAGCGTAGATGTTGAAAATTTTCCACCTCACTATCTTCTTTATAGGTGCCGCATTGGGGTTATAACATTATTTCGAGCGTCAAACAGATGTCTGTACAACGCCTGCTGAACTAAGTTGTCCAGAAGCCAGAAGTCCCAGCCTTGCTTTTAGTCAACGGAACTCCCCATACTATAGCCAATCAATCAGCTATACCATTCTGATTTTCCGATGACGACTAATGAGCCATGCTTGCCGATTATTTCGACATCCCTTCTGTCTCCAGGCCGGCCCCATGGAAACATCTCATTTCCTGAGCCTACCGTTAGTTATGCTTGACAACAACGATTGAAGGACTGACTATCCGTTCTAGGCAGCGCTAAGTAACCGCAGGTAGGCCTTCTTAAGTGAAGCCATTCTAGAAGGCTCACCCAAGAAGGGCTTCCCCGCATGCCTTCGAGCAGGGCCTTCCCTATCTAAAATTTACGCGGATGTATACGTTTATTTTACTTACTAGCCAATGCCCGGCGGCGTGCTTCACTATGTCTTAAAAGTATTTTTGCATTGTTACTTCCTCCTAAAACTTTTATGGCTGCATTTATAAGAAATAAAATAGAATTGAGGAGCATTATGAATAGATAGTACTTTATTTTTTTATGAATAAGGTGTTAGTTAATATATACTCGTATAACTCGATTCTACATATCCTGCACTTTGTTTAAAGGTTTTTTTAATCATTATTTATTTTCAAATAGGTATAAAAATATTTCGGTTGTAAACCTATTAAGTTCGATGCCCGTATTGTAATATTTTATTTATTTTTCCAATTAATTAATTGAATAAAATTTTTAAAGCAGGTGGCAACCCTCCTCAAACATATTTTTTGCAGTAAACTCTACAAAACCTCTTTAGTTTGATATCCATATTGCAATATTTAATTTATGTTATCAATTAAATTAAATTTTCCAAACAAGTGGCAACCTGCCACAAAATATTTTTGACTCAAAGCCTTCTTAAATCTCTTTCCTTTGACAGCCATTTTCATTTTATTAAATTTTCTTAACTGAAATTTTCAAACAGGTGGCAACTCTCTTATTATTATTTTCCTACCACTCCTCGAGCCTTTTCTTGTACAAACAAATTCTTTCCAACTTTTCTTTCCGCACACAATCTCTCATCAAATATTTTAAGCACAAAAGTTATCGTTCAATTTGCAACACTTTACACTGTATGTATTAAGGCTTTTGGAATGGTTTTGTGATTTAACTCCGATTTTCTGGTTTTTTGCGCACAATTTATGAACGAATATAGTTTCCTTTATTGAGCTCATTTTTCATGTAAAACAAAGACTATTCTAGCAAAACCATACACTTGTTGGATTTTATTCCATTACATTTGACGTAAAAAACAATCGCTTACTTGCACAATCAGTTTTTTATTCGTATATGTACATATTTACACACTTCTGTTAAGGAGAAACCCATTTAAAATGAGCATTTCAAAGGACATACGGCCATCCGGCACATTATTATACAACTGGCAATAAGCCAATAGACAATTGTGTTTTTGGGTTGAAGTTATACTATTTTCCGCATCCGGCCCTACAACTTACAACTCGTTTTCATCTTATTTTGGCACTACAATTGTGTTTGTGTCGGTTTGGGACAAAGCCAAAAAACTTGGCCAAATGCCACCTCGAAAAAACAAAAACTTTTGTAGTATTTCGATGCTCTAATACCTTTCAAATATCATTAGCCAAATCTACAATATATTGCCAATTTGATTAAGTATACTCTAACATCCACTTTCCATAATATATTTATTCTACCACATTTGAGTTAATTTCCTAATTTGGACACTATAAGTATATAAACATTTTCATGCCACAAATAAGTAGGTACTCGTGTGTATGTAATTCAATTTCCCAGCACAATTCAGCATTCATTCAACCGGAAATACTCAAATTAGGAAATTTTCAGCAAACTCTACATTACTGCAAAGTGATAATGCTCAATGGTAGACAGTGAGCCAGTCACTCACTCAACCAGCCAGTCAGTTAGCCAGCCAGACAGTCAGACAGTCAGACAGTCAGACAGTCAGACAGTCAGCCAGTCACCCAGGCAGGCATCCATCCAACCAGCCAATGTTTTTTTTTTTTATTTATGACTCCATAAGTGGCAATTAAGAGCGCCATTAAGGGCAATTGAAACATCAGCTTTGATTTTCAAGGCCACCGCAGTAGCAGTATATTTACAAGCATTACAGCATTACAATAACAACTGTCTACTTTTTAATCTAATCAGAGATGACATTAATATTCAGCAGCGCTGAATTTAAAGTGATAATACAAAGCGCATGGGGGTAGAAGTGGCAGGCAACTCGAAAAGTTGATGATACATTTGAAGCTGAATGCATTTTATGGACGGAGTATAACCTTTTTTAAAGATATGTAAATAAATGATACAGCCGGCGGCGTTCTAAAAGTCGAAAAGCGAGTTATGGCGCTCACATTTGTGGTTAACCGAAAAATGTTTATTTTTTTAAAAACCAAAAAAAAAAAAACAAATACTAAATGTTATGGGTGGTCATATTGCATTTTCAATATATTACTGTTATCATTCCGTTAGGTGAAAATGTAAGAGTGGTTGCACAGACCTCAAACGGCAGGCAGTGAGTGTCAGACGAAGTCAATAGGCGCCGTTAAAGCACCAGAGGCGCCAAAAGCATTCAATGATTTGTGGGGAAAACAAAAAAAAAATTGAAATTAGAAAGGCATTGAGTAGACAAAACTACACAAAAAATGCAATCTACTATATTATATACATACATTTTATACGAGTATAATAAAACTGTTGCGGTTTTCTTTGTGCGCGCATGTCATTAAAACTACTGAATGGATTTAAACGAAATTTTAAAGGATTGTAGGGAAGTACCCAGAAAAGTTGTTATACACATTTTATTAAAATCGGTCAAATTCATTGGAAGATATATAGACATATGTATGTATATAAAATAATAACTTCGTTTATTCAGCAAGCAAAAACGCGACCCATTTGAATAATTTTTTCTTCATTTGTTAGAGAGTTGCCACCAGTTTTGAAATTTCCGTTTAGATAAAGTGATAAGATAAAGTAACCATTGCAATATGCATGTCAAAAGAAAGACATTTAGTGGGGCTCACAGCAGAAAATATTTTTGAGTACGGTTGAAAACTGTTTGAAAAAAAAATTTTATTGAAAAGATAAATTAAATATTACATTATGGGTATCAAACTAACGAGGTTTAAGAAAGCTTACTATCGAAAATATTTTTGAGACGTGTTGCCACCTGCTTGAAAAATTGTATTTAATCAATAGAGCGGATAAATTAAATGCATATTACAATATGGGTATCAAACTAGAAAGGTTTAAGATAGTTTACGATCGAAAATATTTTTGAGGCAAACGCCACCTGTTTGAAACATTTTATTAAATTAAATTAATTAGGTAAACTAAATATTACTATCGAAAAATATTTGTGAGGCGGCTGCCACCAGTTTCAAACATTTTATTTTATTAAATTAATCAGATAAATTAAATATTACAACATGGATATCAAACTAAAGAGTTTTAAAAAAAAGTTTACCTGTTTGAAACATTTTATTAAATTAAATTAATTAGGTAAACTAAATATTACTATCGAAAAATATTTGTGAGGCGGCTGCCACCAGTTTCAAACATTTTATTTTATTAAATTAATCAGATAAATTAAATATTACAACATGGATATCAAACTAAAGAGTTTTAAAAAAAAGTTTACCTGTTTGAAACATTTTATTAAATTAAATTAATTAGGTAAACTAAATATTACCATCCAAAAATATTTTTGAGGCGGATGCCACCAGTTACAAACATTTTATTTTATTAAATTAATCAGATAAATTAAATATTACAATATGGATATCAAACTAAAAAGTTAAAAAAAAAAGTTTACTAAAGAAAATATTTTTGAGGTTGGTTGCCACATATTTCAAAAACGGAATTTAATTAAATTGATAAGGTAAACTGAATATTACAATATGGGTATCAAACGAAAGGTATTTGAGAAATCTTTGACGTAAAAATACCTTCAACTGAATTGCCAACTATATAAACAAAAAATAATAAATTAAATTAAATACAGGATTGGTACCAAATGAAAAGTGGTTGAGAAAGCTTTAATAAAAAAAATTCGCAAGGTTGCCACCTATTCAAAAGCTGAACATTAAACAAATTTTAATGAATAACGGAATACTATAATTCTCGTTCACTTACGTATCGAAAAACCTTAAAAAAGTGCGGTTTTCGTATCCGGAACTGACCAGAAAACGACTAAAATTTTCACTCATTTTCGTATCCGGAAAACATTCGAAAGTGAAGAAAATTTGCAGAAAAATTGCCAAAAACGTAGCCGTTTCAAAACAATTTTCGTATCGTCAAAGTATCCGAAAATGGCATCAGTAAACTGGCAAAAATCCGCATTTCATCCACTTTTTTCCTTTTTCGGATCTATTTTCAGATTTATTGCTGCCTGGGTTAATATATGCCATTTTATTTACAAGATAAAATACATTTGGGTCATATTAAAAAGAGAATTTCAAAAAATGTCGGCTAATTTTTTTGGCGGTTGGGGCTCAATATGTAAGTAATTAACTAAACAAAAAATTTTTTTTTTTTTGGGAGCGGGAGCGGAGCTAAGAGCAAAGCTCGGGGCGAAATGCAATACTGGAGCGCAGTTAGAGTGAAGCGATGAAAAAAAGGTTTGCTACGAAGCTCTGTTAAGAACAATATTAACTAATGACCTTATTCATAAAAAATAAAGTAGACTAAAAAAGCTTTATAAAATGACATTTTCATATATTTTTCAATTTATAAACCTTTTTTAAAGCTACTTTATTTCTTATGAATAGCCATGAGTGTTTTGGATATAGTGAGAGGGCGCCGCCCTTCCCCCTAAATTTCATTCTGGCCACGCCGATGACGCCGGATATTTGCCAGTTGATGAATAAATATTGAATATTGCTTTTGTTAGTTTGTGTCTAAAAGTGAGGTTGGAAATATCTGTTTCGTTGAAATCTCATTCAATACACGTAAATAGAATAAGTACACAATTAACTAGGAGGGTGACAACCTATTTTCGCACTTTCATACCACGCAACCAAGCATTTTATTTATACACACAATTGAGCGCGCCCTGCAACAATTGAAGTGAGGGGCGTATGCCACACAATGGACAATTTTAGAGGTGGCAGTTAATTAACGAGTGTTGCATTGTCAATGAACTCGTCGTCGTCTGCAAAGCAATTGTGAACCGAGCAGCTGTGATGAGTTAGAGAGTGCGGTGCGCGCATTGCTGAAGTTGATGAGTACCCTCTCTCTTTACAAGTTTCATGCAGCCTTTGATGTTAGAATAGGCAAAGGGCGTGTATGCGTGTCTTCCTAGNTTTTTTTTTTTTTTTTTTTTTTTTTTTTTTTTTTTTTGGTGACCTAAGTCAACATCCATCCATTCTTTCGTTCTTCTGCTGCGGTTATTGTAGCGCTCTCAAAGCATTTCGCTTTTGGTGAGGCCATCGGCAATCGGCAATCGTCGACGACCACCAGCATATTTATAACTTCACCACCACCACCACCACCACCGCCAGGCAGAGCATTATTTCGCATTAGAAGTGTATTTTCGTGGTACTTGTACCGGAAATCTCGCTTGGATAAACACACAATACACACTAAATACTTATTTTTTTTTTCTTTTTGTTTTCTGCAATACACATTTGTACAAACATATTTATGAACCGTGAAGTCGTCGCTAAAATTAAACTTCCGCTATGAAGAGCGATTCTTCACAAAAGCCACAATCTATATACATACATACGTATGTATTTATGTATGTATGAATGTACTTGCTGCCATATATTTTTGTTTGTGTATGCATTGCATTTACACTGCCTAGTAATTTATAAATATCCTCATTCATTAGAGTAAAATTTGTGTATCACAATGCCCCGGGAAGCAACTTCAAATGTGCGCAATTCGAAGTGGGTGTGGGTAAGCGTGTATGTGTGTGTGAGGCGCCTATGTCCAACACAAAATATGAAAATTAATAAAGGATACCAACTAGCAAGCATGTATTGTCTAGCATTTCTAATAAATTTTAACATTTTCACGAATTTCTTTCAAAGTCTTTCAAGGCTGTTTTCAGAGTGGGGAGTTAATACCAATTTATATGAAAACTTTTCGAAAACTGTAATTTTCACTTTTATACCTATTATTTATTATGCCGAATTTCCAATAGGCATTGAGTGACAAAAAAATTGGTGCCATTTAATAAATGCCATGGGGAAATGAACTTATGGACTATTTTTTATAATGTAATGATACGAATATTCTGAAATGCGCAATTTTGTTATTGCAATTTTTTCCATTGAATGCCTAGTGGAAATCCAGCATTATACATATAATGGCAGGCCAGCCATTATCCACCTCCAAACCGTCTTAAATTTTTGATATAGTTGGAACCTTAACCCCTTCAGTACAAGCGTTCAATATAAGTGACTATTTTTTGTGCTTAAAGCTCTTTTTTTCCTAAATAAGAGCTTTAGTTGTTAAAAGAACAGTTGTTTTGAGATAATCATATCATTCTTCTTTACCGCGTTCCGTTTATTGTGATTTCGGGATGCATTTGACCGTGTTTTTTTCACTAAAGGGAAAGTGTAACAATAGTCGATAGTGAACAGCATTGAAAACAAAAATAATTACATAAAAAAAATTACAAAAAAAATTCAAATTATTATAAAAAATATGATTCATAGTTTTGAAGTATATTTCGGCAAAGGAAAGAAAAAAAAATTAAATCACTTCGCATTTTAACTACAAGCCTACATATTGTACCACTGTTCAATATAAGAGACGATGAATTAAGATAACGGTTGATTTATTGTACTTAGGACCGTTTTCTGAAGTAACCTTTAACTTACAGGTTACTTCAGGAAACTGCCCTTAAAGAGTTAATATTTCTCTCCCATTTCACCTGCATCCGTAATCCTCTCAGAACCTAAAACTCTCAAGTTGATATCTTCCAATTTATCATTTCTTTAAAAGTGCTTTATATCAACCGTTACTGAACGGAGCGGAAAAATTGTTTAAATGTTATAATTCTCAAGTTCTTATATCAGCTCTTCAGTTAAAATTCTTTCAGGGACCGAGAACAAAATGTATGATCAAAACTTAATGTCGTTCTCATAGTTTTGTTCGTAAGAATGCTTCAAAAACAACCCAGAAATAATGGCGCCTTAGACATACGTATAACTTTAGATTAATTTACTAAGTTCAATGAAGCATTAGCCGCGCGAAGTGCCTACTTTGAGCAGTAAAATCGATGTTCTAACATAAAATTTTGTCTGTAAAAATTTGCATTCAAAACTCCAATCGATTGGGGTATATTTATTTAGCTAGCTAGCTAGCAATGCAAAACGACGACACTTGCCTATGCAACGTCATATTTTCGCATTAGACGCACGCACAATGCTCCTAATAATTCAAAAGACATTTCTCATAATTTACCCAACATTTTCACTGCGCTTTGTTCTATTCATAAACCTTGCGCAAAAAAAAAAATAGAACTAAAAATTATAAAAATACAAACAAAAACCCAATGACAACAATAAAAAAGGGGAACATTTCAAATTTACTTACATTTCTTGCCTCTGTTGGCTGTATCGTCACACACTTGCAAGTGCACATCCTCTACACGCACCATTGCCGCTTGCGAATTGGATGCTGCTGCTGCTGCTGCAGCGGCCGCTGCCGCCGAAGAAATTGCTGTATTGCGATTGCGGCTTTCCAGCCAAGTGGGTCGCTGTTGCAAGAAACATTTGCGCCGTTGTGCTGCTGCCTGCAGCTGCTGTTGTTGTAGCAATTGTCGCGCGTTAGCAGCCACCGGTTGTGTGGCCGATGGTCGCGATTGAGCGTAGGCTGTTACGGCTGGCGCCGGGTCTAATGCATGTGCGCGTTGCAAATGCTGATCGAGCGCACGTTGCGTACAGAAACTTTGGCCACACTGAGCGCATTGGAACCGATGTGCGCCATGTTCTTCGACTATGTGTTGTTGGCGCTGGGCGCGTCGCATGAAATTCATCGGACAATGGGGACAATTGAAGGGTGTCTCCACCGGGTGCATGGCTATGATGTGATTGCTGTAGTCGAGATTGCTGGTGAATTTGGGACGCTTGTGACAGAAGCGACAGACGAGATTGACTTTTTGTGTGGTCGCGTTGGCGCGAGCAATGGCCGCTTGCTGCGGCTGCACTGGCGACGGATGCGGTTGAATCATTTGTAGCTGCTGCAGTGATGTCGGTTGACGTGCACGCGTATGTTGAAACATGCGTACTTGTGCTGGGAGGGCTTGCTGCTGCTGCTGCTGTTGTTGTTGGTGTTGCTGCTGACGTTGTTGTTGTTGTTGGTGGTGATGCTGTTGTAGCTGCTGCTGACGATGTTGGTAGTTCGATGCAGATGGTGTGGATGCGCAGCGCGGTGGTCGATTGCCAGCCAACGCCGAGGCGGAACGTGGCGGTGGCGTAGCATTGTGCAGCTGATAATGTTGCAAGTGACGCGGCGTGGACGTGTGATGCGCTGCACCTGGCGCAGCTGTACGTGGATTGATGAATTGTGGAGCTAAGTTGACGCCGTTCACCTGCACTGCAGACAAAGGTGCCAGTGCTGGCGCTTGTAGTTGTGGTTGCGCGTGTTGCATGATTACTGCTTGCGGCGGCTGTGACAACTGATACGTGGTTGGCTGATCAGATGTGCCGGCCGCTGTGGCATACAGTTGCGCGGTGGCGCCACCAGCGCTTGGTGAACCATACTCTTGTGGTATTACAATCATTATTTGTTGTTGCTGTTGCTGTTGCTGCTGTTGGTGTTGTTGCTGTCGCTGCTGCTGTTGCTGATGGCAGGCTTGGCGTTGTTGTGTTATAGCAGGCCCATCACCAGTCATGCCGTCAATGTAATTCTCATTCGCATCGACCACCGAACGTTTATCCAACTCGAGCGCATGGCGTTGGTGTTGGTGGTGCTGCTGCTGCTGTTGCTGCTGTAGTTGTTGCTGTTGGTGGGGGTGATGGTGCGCATGTGCATGCGATTGCTGTTGTGGCATTGCGGTCGCTGCAATCAAGTTTGGTTGATACAAATCGCTGGCGTTTATGTAGTAGGTGGTGGTGCCGCCACCCGCCGTAGGTGCTTCGATGATGGCCGGCGAGAGGTTCGCCAAATCGGATGTCCATTGGATTTCTTGCCCGGTGCCGAGGCCGTGAGCATAGAGGTTTACGCCCACATTGGTCATCGGCTGTATGGGATTTGCGGCTTGCGCCAGTTGCATCTGCGCAGCCTCATAGGCGCAGCTGGGCGGCAAGGCAATGTAGTGTTGCTTCTGTTGTCCGGTTGAGCCATGCTGCTGATGCTGCTGCTTGGCGGTAGGCGTGGCCAGCATGGTGTGATGTATAACTTGTGGACGCTGCTGCTGGTGTTGCTGCTGTTTGCGCTGCTGCTCCAGCAGTTGTTGTTGCTGCTGTTGCAGGCGCTGCTGCTCCAAGTGTTGCTGTTGACGTTGTTGTTCCAACAATTGCTGCTGATGCAGCAGCTGCTCCTGCTGCTGTTGTTCGAGCAATTGCTGCTGTAGTAGGTGCTCTTGTTGCTGCTGTTGTTGTTGCAGCAGTTGTTGCTGCTTGAGCAGCTCTTCTTCTCGTTGCTGCTGTTGCAGCAGCAGTTCAGCCTGGGCGGGTTGTTGCTGCGCCAGCTGCGTTTGAGTTATTAGTTGTTGTTGCACTGGTACCACCTCTTCTGGCACCAAATGGGGCTGCTGTCCATCGGCCGCCTCCTTCTCCGCCGCCTCGCGCTCCCGCTCGGCCTGCTCCGTCGCTTCGAAGTCGTTAAGCAGCTGATCCAGCGTCTCGCTGTCCACCGCGTACTCTTTCGCTGCGCTTGCCCCATCGGCGTGCCCAACAGGCACACTAGGCGTTGGCGCATGCACCTGCACGCCAGTATCTGTTGCACATGCCAAAACAACAGCCGACTCGTTGGTGTTGACCTCGTTGCCCTGCGCGATTTCCAAATACTGCACAGGGGCCGACTCCGCGGCAGCCACCTCGCAATTAGACTGCTGTTCAATGTTTACCGCCGTCGGCACTACCGCTGCGGCCACGCCTGTCGGCTGTAATTCCACGTCATTGTGGCTGCTGGCTGGACTGGCTGATGAATTATTAGCAGCTGCTGCCGCCAACTCAATATTCTCAAAGCAGGGTATGTCATTTTGGAAGCCAATCAACTCCGATTGCGTGCTATCCTCGGTGAAGCATTCACCATATTTGTTACCGTTGCCGTGGCCATTGCTGTACTGCTTGCCATAGCCGCGCTGCCCCTGTCCCTGGCCCTGCTGTGGCTGCTGCTGCTGATGATGATGCGCCGGTGGTGGTGGACCCACAGACCCGGGCGCAGGCAAAGGAGACGGCTCTGACATTTGGCCGCTGCTCACACTCGCCGGTTCCATGTGCATGTGCTGGACGTAGGGACTCGAGGCCACCGATAAGCTGCCGCCACCGCCGGCCATGCTGCTGCTACCCACGCTGCCAACGCCACCAAGCGGACTCTCGGCGTACATGCTGTGCGTGGGCGTGGTGGGCGGTTCGGAGAGTGGTGAGTACACCGATTGCGCGAAGAAATCATCCGCGCTAGACGACACTGGCGTGTAGATGTGCTGATCCTGCATTTCGTTGAGTATGCCACTCAGTGTGTTCTCCACGTCCTGCATCTCGCTCAAATTTGACTCGCTCAGCAGTTGGGTTGTGGGTTGCGACGTCGTTGTCGTGGTCGGGTGTATGGTTGTGTGTGGCGCGCCGCGGAAGGGTGCAGCAGTTTCGGCTTCGGCCTCCGCTTCGGCGAGCAAGGCGGCGGTGACATCGCCCGCCGGCAAAGTGGCTTGCAGCTCGTTGGCTTGTGGCGCTTCCGACTCATCGGCCAGCTCGGGCGCAAACTCGCTTATGAAATCATGCAACTTGGCGCCTGCTAAGCTCGCTGTGGCTGCTGCTGATGGCAAAGTGTTTGCTTGCACGCTGTTGCTGGTTATGCGTCCATTGGGGCTTGACCCAGTGCCGTCGCTGAAGCCCATACAGTCACTTTGCTCACTCTCGTACTGGCTGCTTGCGATGGCACAGCCGCCGTAGCGCATTAATTGCGTATTCGCAGCATCCACCTCTGTGACGAATTGCGTGCTGCATTTTAATGTTTGATTGTCGCCAGTTGGCTGAAGCGACTGCTTGTCGCCAGCGTGCTGCAGTTGAGATGCAACCATAGTTGATTTTGCATCAGAATTGCTTGAGGGCGCCTCAAGACACATATCACTTGTGACGCTGGTGTTGTTATTGCTGCTGTTGCTATCGTTGTTGTTGTTGTATTGCGCATTAATATGCTTGCCATGCATCGGTGGCTTACCATCTACACTTTCCACGTCTTGTGTTCGCACTGTCGCTTGGGGACTTGTTGCCGTTTTCGCTGTCAGCGCTGACACGTTGTTCGCGGTCTCATCACTTGACGCTTTGCCTGGTGATGTTGTCTTTTGCGCGTTGGCTGTTGTTAGGAATCTTCTTTGCAAGGCTGCGGATAGTGCAGAGAGTGGCACGCGCACAATTAATTGGTTACGTAACAGCACCGACACTGGTTTAGCTGCGGAAGTAGACGATGTTGATGGCGTCATCGATGGAGCCAACGATTTCAAGGCGATGGGTGGCGTCTGTGTAGAAGCCTTAGTTGGCGAGAGCATTTCAGTAGACTTGGTTGGTGACTTATTTGGTATTGAGATCTTCGATGTACCGGACACGAGCGTGGAAAAAGTCTTAAGAGACATAGGTGCCGTTGGCGACACTTTGCTTGGCGACGGCGTGGACGCCTCATCTTTATGGCTTGCAGCAGTAGTTGGCAAAAGCGCTGGCAGGAGTGGCAACAGAGGTACAAGCTGTGTGGGTAAGGACATGGTTGAGTTCGTGAATTTAGATGTCGCTGCTGGTGCGCGTTCTTCCTTATTACGATCACAATTTTCTTTGGGCGCCTTCGCGTAGTCTTTGACATTCAAAGTGTTTACATTATTTCTAATCATCTTGCCCTTGTTTTGGCTGACAAGTTGCGCTGGTAGGCTGGGTGGTTCCGGCTTGCGCATAAGACTTGGCATATAATCGTCTTCCGTCGTGTCGTCGGTCATGCAGCAGTCGTTACAGCATGAACGTCGTTTACGTACGCGACGTCGCTTCTGGGATAGGTCAGCTGCAGCTTCCTCACCCTGCTGCTGTTGCTGCTTTGTCACACCGCCCACTACATGGTAGCGTGCTGCTGCTATGCCTGTTGTTGTTGCCGACGACGAAGCGCCCATTGTGGCGCCACGCGTGCTCTGCGCATCATTAGACGCAGCAGTTTTCGGCGCGCATGCGGCACAGGACGCTGGCCGTTTCTCCTGCACCAGCTTCAGTATAATGGGCATCACTTTGCCGTCGCTGGACGCACTACGTTTACTTGTCTCCTCCAGCAACTTGCGACGCTTCTTGATGCGCTTGCTGCGGCGCTCTGTGCACATAGTACTCGCCGTCGTCGCGCTATCTACATCTGTGGTGTAAGCCTCAGCATGGCTCATCTCAGTCTTTTGTTGGATTTCAGTGCGCATAACTGTTGTGGAATTTTGCGCTTCAGCATCCGGCGCATATAGCACGAGCTGCTCATCTAGCTGTTCGGCCGCTTCCAACGCGGCTTGCTGCTGCTCGAGACCTTCCTTCATTTCGGCTTTCGTGCGCCAAGGTGAGCGCGTCGACGAGGCTGAACTTTCAATCACTTCCGTTGGCAACTTACGTTTGAGCGTTATGCGTGTGCTACACGCTTCCGAAAGTGCATCACAGCTCTGTACTGCTTCGAATTCGATTTCACTATCTGTAACACCAGTGGACATATGCACGTCCGTTAGGTATGCGTAGTCGTCTTCATCTGTTGTCGCCGTAACTGCTAGACTCTTGGTGACCTCATCGCTCACTTCACTATTATCTAAACGTCGCAAACGCACAACACATGAGGGTAACTGTTGATGCGCCATCGACTCGGTGGTTATACTATCATCTACTACATCGCATTCGTTTGTCGCTTTGTTGTCATCAACGTGCGTATGCTTATCGACGAAACATGGCAGGCGTGAACGTGCACGCCACTTGAGTCGTCGTCGACCACGGCGTGCGGTTGCATAGTATGAGAATGTCGGCTGTGGCGGTGGTGGTGGTGAGTTAGTGCCCTCCGTTCCCAACGTCATCGCCATCGTTGCTGCCGCGGGCGCGCTGGTGTCACTGCCAGTCGCAATGACCGTTGCTGCTGTTTCGCTTTCACGCTCGCTTGCCGCCAATTGTGCAAGGCTGCGTCGCATTTGCTTTTTCTTGTAATGCAACGCTGTGAAAGCAGCAGCTGCTGCCGATGTGGAGGCCGGCGAAGCGGCGAGCAGTTGGGCAATGGGTCCTTTCAGTGTGCGTCGCATTTTCTGCTGCATGTGACGACGTGCCAGTGAACGGCATTTGGGTGAGGTGCTGTACGCTTTGAGCGCGGCTTTCGTTACGAAAGAGGAGGAGGCAGCATGGTAGGTGGTGGTGAGGGAGTTTGTGCTATCGAGCAGCGCGGTGTCTTCCTCTGAGATCATTTCAGTTACAGCAGAGTTCATAGTTTCATTGTTCGTTGGGCTTTGCGTTCTTGCTGTTGCTGTGGCTGTTGTTGTTGTTGGTGATGTTGTTTTTGTTTGCGGCCGCAGTTCAACTGTTGCCATTAGCGTTTCAACGCCTTCATCATCACAATCAACATCAGAAGTAACAACAGGCACATTTTCAACGACCAAACGTTCGTCCGTTGGCAAACGATTCTCTGCTCCATCGCCGTCAACGCCGTTTACATTTCTCAAACTCGAACTCCAATTCAAACTTGACTTTAAAGTGTTGCCAGCAACTCCCCTATTATTAAGCTCGATTGCCGCCGCCGCCGCCGCCGCCACATTGCTTGTTGCCTCCGTCTCACTGGCAATTATCTGCGAGGCAGTCGCAACACCATCTTTCACAGTCTCGTTGTTGCACGTCGTCGTTCTCGTTGTTGCCGGCAAAATTGGCAAATTACTAATCTCAGACGCTTCCACTGTTTGTTTACTGCTTTGTACATCATTCGTCGGTGCTTCATTTATCGCTCTGGCCGCCTCCGTTGCCCTCGTAGCTGTGGTTGTTATTTCGGCTGCCGCCGCCGTCACCTCTTGGCCGCTAATCAGTTTCTGCTGTACGTCATCGACAACGTCCATTGGTTTTGCCTTAGCAGCGGTACTAACAACAACAGCTGGCCGTCGTAACAAATCGCCATCGCCATCGCCATCGCCGTCGCCGCCGTCGCCCTCTGCCTTGTTGTGTTGTTGGCACGAAGACGACGACATCAACGTTTCATTTGTAGCCTCATCAGCGATAGCTTTAAGAACATTGCCGCCGCAATCATCTCGGCCAGAGCGCGCTATTAAAGTGTCCGCAGCATCACACGAAGTTGCCGCCGCCGCCAACACCGCATGCTCCTTTGCCGCCAACATGTCCGTTTCGTTGGAGTAGGCGTGTCGCTTATCCATAAATACTGCTGCTGACGCGATTTCCGCTTCTGTTTCTCGTTCTACTTCACCTTCTCGTCGTTCACATGCGCATTTATGTACCGCAACGTCCCCGCCTCCTCCGCGTTCGCGTCGTGCGCGTTTGCCGCGTCGCTCACTGCTTTGGGATCTCGACTTTGGCTCAATGTTTATTGGGAACGACGCCGTCTTGGCTGCAGACTCCACAGACTTAACGGCGTCGGCTGCCACTTGCACATCTTCTGTTTGTGCTGCTGCCTTCTCTTTTTCGCCACCGTCTGCGTCGTTGCCTGCCCGTGCCAACGCCTCATTTTTCACCTCATCGTCGTCATCATCATCACCGTCATTAACAGCAACGGCAAGACAATCATCTACACGCGTCTCCTCCACCAGCCCGTCTTGCGCCACCTTTGTTACTGTTGCTGTTGCCGCCAAGGATAATTCCTGCTCATTCGCTTGGCTTGCCAGCTTCTTCATTCGCGCCGATCTTGTGCGCATCACGGTTGTTGTTGTTGCTGCTGTTTTTTTTGGCTTGCTTGGCGTTGCTGGCTTGAAAATGATGTGCGTTGCCAAAAGCGACTCTTGATCGATGCTGCCACCGCTGCGCCGCCTATTTACATCTCGTCCCAAAGTCGTTTCAACATGCGGCTTGCACAACAAATCGTTGCTTGGCACTCTCGATTTGGGTTTTGTTGGTTCATCGGCCAGTAATGGGTTTCGCGCTTGTGATTGCGTTTGTGTCCTCGTACGGCAGGGCGTAGTTGTAACTGTGGCGGCTATTGCCTCCGTCGTCGTCGTCGTTGTCGTCGTCGGCGTTGTAACAGACATCTTGGACGTCCTGCTGCGCCGACTATTGGTAACTTCAGCGGCATTGCCAGCATTGGCGGCGACAGCGGCGGATTCCAACCTCTCGCGCGCCGCCGATTTGCTGTAGTTATCGTTAATTAAATCGTTGCCAATGTCCAACACCGGTGGCAGATTCACGCTCAACGTGGTATTCGTCTTCGTTGTCGTCGTCGTCGCCGCCGCCGCCGCCGCCGCCGCCTCAGCTGTGGTCTCCTCGACCCTGCTACTGCTGCTGTTGCTGCTGCTATTGGTCTCATCTGTTTGAGTCTCTTCATTCTTTTGCCATTTTGGGCAATTATTTGGCTTCGATTTCGACGACTTTGGCTTTTGCTGCGCTTCCTGCTGTTGCTGCTCCTCCGTTTGCTCAGCCGTTGCGCGCGCCAACAGTTCTTCATATTCCCAACCGCGCGTCTTGTCCAGCAGGGAGCGCAATCTGATTTGCACCTTGAGGCATTTACGGCGAAACTTGTGGATAATGTAGAATTGCGCGGTACATTTCGGACAGATACGTTGTGGCAGTCCATCATTCGATTTTATCTGAAAGTAGAAAAAAGAGCAAAAAAGAAGTAAAATAAATGAAGGAACATTGCCGGTAAGTAAAGGAGCAAAAACAAAACAAAAAAAAATGGTTGCTTATTAATGTTCAGTTTGTTCAAAAGCGATTGCATTTGGATAATAGGTAAGAGGGTCGGTTGGTAGGCAGTGATTTGCGGTTGGTTGTTGATTCTTCGGCGCTGCTTGTTTGTTGTTTGTGCTTTGAGTAAATTGCTCGCTCGTTCGAAGGTGTTGAAAATTGCTAAATATTCGTATAATAAAAGAATGCAAGGCAACACCCAGTTTCAGTTTAGTGGTTGTGCTGCACCACTTCGAGGTGATGCTGGATGGCAAAAGGCGCAAAAGGCGAGAACTACAGAACCGAGTGTAAACAAATGACGTCAAAGGCTGACCACAACCAACAGCGGACTCTGCTTGCCGAAGGTGTCTGGTTTTTATTTGTTTTTTTTTTTTTTTTTTACTTTTAACCCGCCCATGCCGCGCTGCTGGTTCTCGCCTTGCCAGCCTTTGTGTCCACGTCGCCTTTCGACTTTGTCCGCGTCTGGTCTGATTTGCTTTCAGATTTTTATTTTCAATTTCTTTTCTGCTTCATTTTCATGACTACAAATTAGTAGCTATACGGTTTAATGCAGGTTTATGTTAATAGCCTGTTCCATTTTTACAACTCTCAACAGCTTCAGTCCTACACAAATCCCTGCATATATGTATTAGCTAAATACTCTAACTTCAGTGTACATAAACATACAAACATTATTTACATATACAACAAATGCTCAGCGAATGTGACAACGAAATTGAAAATTAACTGGTAGCGTGACAAATCAAACAGAAGCAGAAGCTGTGTACGGTCTAAAATGTATGCATTTGCTGCGACAAAAGACAACCGACGACTGACTACATACTATGTAGCTACATACATATGTACATGGCGGAGCAGATATGTACACAAATCGCTAATATCTCAGCAGCCACCGAGAGGACCAGACTATTGTTGGTAATCGGTGGTTGTCTATGCCAGCTTTGCTTTGTCAAGCGCTTTTGACAGCTTTTGTTTTATTATTATTATTTTTTTTTGTTGATTTTTCTTTTTGCTGAAGCGTGATCCGAACGTTCATTGTAATTGAAATCAAGCATGAAATTTAGTTTAGTTAGATTTTAATCGATTTTCGCGCTTAAAAATATTAATTAATAAAAAAATAATAATCGCCTAACATTTAAGCTATTTCGCTTTGGCTACATAAATAAATAAAAAAAAAAAAAAACAAATTTATAACATATGCAGATGTTTTAATCCGAAACGCTCCGACAATGCATTTTATAATTAAAAAATATTTCCCTGATATTTGCATTTAACAGAAAATGACGAATAAGTTTTAATAATTTTTTTAGGTACTCATAAGAGGCGAAGATTTCATTCAGATGAACCTAATAATTATAGACTTGAAAGCTCCGAAAGGTCTCAAAAAAATCGCGAAAGATACCAAACTGTACCAAAAAGGGGAATAACGGTTCAAAAAGCTCATGAAAAATTGCGGAAATTCAAACAAGAAAAAAATGCCGAAAAAGAGCAAAAAAATTTAAAAAATGCCAAGAAAAAATCTCGAAAATCTATACAAAAATCACGAAAAATGCAGAGGCAATTAAGCACGAAGAATTCTGAAAATTATCTGTAGAAAATCGTGAGAAGTTTAAAAAATCTAAAAAGGCAAAGAACGCATACTTCCGAAAAAAAACTTTAAAAAATCACAAAAAGGTACCGAAAAAAAGAAAAATACCGAAAAGTGACGCAAAAAGCCATTAAAATTTCGAAAAAGTCTTAAAAAAAAGATATAAAAAAAAATTACGAAACAAAAAACACGAAAAAATTCGAAAATTCCACGAAAAAATACAGAGATCCGAAAAGTCTCGAGCGGACTTGGGAAAATTTCGAAAAATTCCTAAATAATTCCCAAAAGAGGCAAAAAGAGTTACAAAATGTTCCGCACAACCCCGAAAATTTATAAAAAATCCGCAAAAATTTAAAAAATCCAAAAGGTGCTGTAACATCTCGAGGTCTGAAAAAATTTCAAAAGTAAACGGAAAATAAAACACAAAGTATCAAAAGAAATCCCTAAAAGTTCGAAAAAAAATCCCAAAAAGTCCGAACAAAAATCCCAAAAAGTCGAAACAAAAATCCCAAAAAGTCCGAACAAAAATCCCAAAAAGCTCGAAACATTCCGAAAATACAACACAAACCCCGAAAAGTTCCGAAATGCGCCAAAAAAACGTCTCCTTTTTTTGTTGCCCGAAAAGAGGGGTGCAAGTATTTTTTCGCAGAACTTCTTTCTGTTGTCTCAAATGAAAATGTGCTGAGATAGGGCGTTCTTCAACCAAATGACTAAATAAAATTGAATGATATGTCACGATGAATTATGTGCAGAAAGAACAATGCTATCGAACCGCTTTCTAAGCGATTAAACAAATGAACTTGAAAATACTTAAAGACATAATCCGATCAACTGAATAGGTAAATAAATTTTTGTAACTATAATAGCTGGCTAATTGATTTCAAAGGAATTGCGCTATAAAAACCGGCGCACTGAGCTGAGCGTAAGGGACGCGCATATCAGCTAGGATTATAACCGCAGGTGGTAATATTTAAACGAGATGAGATGATCAGCGCCACACAGCTGGTTGGGTTGGTTGTCCGTTTGAATTGGTAGTGGCGATCTTGTTGCTATTTGTAGCGCATTATGATAAAAAGCATATCCTTTCAACTGTTGCACATATGTATGTATATATGTATGTATGTATGAATATGATGGATTTAAGTACCCCTAGTTGAGTACACTTAATTGCCCTCGACAATTTGCACAAAGAGTGCCCGCATATTAAGGATGCTTGAGCTGCATAAATATTATTATAAGAGTTAGTTATTAAAGGACATTAAGTAGGATATCCGCTGCCGCTTTATAGGTAGACAGCTTACGTAGTCATGAGAAAGTGAATAATAAAAGTCATGTTTTTCTTGACCACCAGCAGCAGCCAGTGCGGATTAGTCATGCATAAAATATTTCTTATCCCTCAGTTAACCCTCGATGAGAGCTGAATTGTGCTGAGCGCGCACACAATAATTATTTTTTAATGTAGCTGGTAAGAGAGATATTTAAAACTCATAATTTTTTTAATAATGGCAAGTGAAGAAAAGGTGGAAGATTTTTATTTTTTTTTTTTTGCTTCAAGTAAATAATAGGTGATCGTTCATAGAAGAGCAAATATCTTCGCATATTTGTATGTATAAATGAATGAATGAGCAGGCAGGGTTAATAATCGTGTTGTTGATTGTTCTATGAGTTGTTAATTGGGCTGATCTTTTAACACCAACGATTAGCAAACGAGGCACGCACACAATGGCGTAGCGCAACAGTGGTGGAAGGAGGCAACATATAAGCAGGCAGGCAGGCAGGCAGGCAGGCAGGCAGGTAGGCAGATGAACAGAACGCAAGCATGACTTGGGAAGGGAAGTGAATTGGAGTAGAAAAAATATATATGTACACATATAAAAAATATATCAAAAAAAAAAAAACAAGAGGGTTAGGCCAAGCAAACTGGAGTGTGCAAAGAGCAGAAGGCAGATGACGGGAAGGTGGCCACCTGTTTATTATTCAAAACATTTATTGTATGTCAATTAGACGCTGTTTGTTCAGGGTATTTTTAACAAGTAATTGACAACATTGTTGGAACATGAGTGCCAACACAGCACCACACCCCTGCTTACGTATGTACGTACGCACTTACGACAGATACATACCTATGTATAGCTTTGAAGAATACTTAAGTACAATAGTACTTGAGTACATCCTCCACTTTTATATATTAAATAAAATTAGTTTACTTACATAAATATGGGCCACTGCCACTGTACGAGAATAATGCAAAACAAAATGGAAACCACACACGAAGATTAAGGTTGCTTTGTTTTATTTGGCAAAAAAAAAAAATATGAAAAAAAAGAAAACGAAAAAAAAAACACAGAACCCAGTTGTCGCAGAATTAGCAGCAGCTTAGCATGAGAAATGAAAGGGCGACAATGGTGTATCGAATATGACAGCCAACCAAACCAAGTAGCCCTAAAGCGCTGACTGAGTGATACGAGGTAGCGACGAGGGTCAGCATTTGAGGCGCTTGCCATTGTAGATTAGAAGGCGATGAGGATGAGGCGATGGTATAAAGTTGGTTGAATAAACAATAAAATAAAAAAAAATAAAAAAATATAATAAAAATGAGTGCACAAAACGACGACAAAAATGGCACAAAAATAGTTTCGAGAGGGTCCAGATGCCTTTGGTAAAAGTAAGAGTATGTCCATTAGGGTGGCCCTTAAATGTGGGAAGCAAATTTTTACATCAGATTTTCTAAGCCGAAGCTATTATAGTCGAAGACATCACATACAAATTTTCGTCGCGATTGGAGACGGTTAGAGCGTGTCGCACAGGGGTCAAAGTTCAGATTACCCTATGACGACGTCTTAACCGTCTCTCCAATCGTGACCAAAATTTATATCTGATATCTGTGACAGTGGTATTATCGATTGAGGGGTAGGACTGAAAAGTTGTTAATTAAATTTTTTTTTAAGGACCACCCTAATATGTACTAGCATGGATGTACTATGTATGCAGGAATGTATGCACTAGTATGCGGTAAAAAGTAATGTCAAAGCCACTCAAGCGTAGCTAATTTGGATTATAGCTTGTCGCATAGATCTGTATATATGTATGTATGTATGTATGTATGTATAAGGGTTCATCTAATTGTTATTACTCAAGCGAGCTAACACAATGATGATGACCGACGAACGTCGATGGCGATGGCGATGGCGACGACGATGAGCCACAGTAGGCTGCCATAGGCGCTTGTGGAGAAGCAAAAACTCGACAAAAAAACGAGGAAAAAAGTAAAAACAGAATTAAAGTAAGAAAACGAAATGAAATAAAAATAGAAAT